GCCTGGGGGTTTGAGGCTGCAGTGAGGCACCACCACTCCTGCCTGGGTGACAGAGTGAGACCCTATCTCTAAAAAAAAAAAAGAAAAGAAAAGAAAAAAAAATTGAAGCCGGGCTCGGTGGCTCAGCCTGTAATCCTGCGCCTTTGGGAGGCCGAGGTGAGTGGATGGCCTGAGCCCTCGGGCTTGAGACCTGCTTGGGCAACTTGGTGAGACCTCATCTCTACAATAAATCAAAAAATTAGCCAGGCGTGGTAGCGTGCGTCTGTAGTTCCAGCTACTTGGAAGGCTAAGGCGGAAGGATCGCAGGAGCCCAGCAGGTCGAGGCTGTGGTGGCCACTGCACTACAGTCTGGGTGAGAGTGAGACTCCAACTCAAAAAAAAAAGAATATAATCTCATTATAAAAAATGTGGGAAGGTCGGACATGGTGGCTCTCACGTGTACACCTGTAATTCCAGCACTTTGGGAGGCTGAGGTAAGAGGATTGCCAGGTGTGGTGGTGCACGACTGTAGTCCCAGCTACTTGGCAAGCTGAGGCAGAAGAATTACCTATGCCCAGGAGTTTGGGGCTGCAGTGAGCATCTCACTGCACTCCAGCCTGGGTGACAGAGTGGACCCCAACTAAAAAAAAGCGGGGGGAGAGGGAAACAGATCAGAAGAAAGAAGAGTAAATAAATGAGAAATTACTTTTTCTAATGTGGCACCACAGCAGCTTTTCTGGCATAGGGCCCCGGGCTGGGTAGGAGATTGTGGACCCTCAGACCCGTGTGGTCAATAAGCCATCAGTCTGTGGGTCTACAGGGGACGCATGGCCACTGGGACCTTCCTCCCCTAAGGGTTTCAGGAAGAGGTATCTGGGCCCCTGTACACTTGTCTGTGGTGATGTAAAGAGTGAAGCTGACAAGAGATGCTATATTTAATTTTGGTGCCTGCGTCACCTCTGACCACACAGCAGTGTCTGCCTAGGCAGTGCTTGGCTGGAGGCGTTTCTGAATGATGCTGTGCAAGACTCACTTTCCATAAGAGAAGGCATTGTGGAGGGGAAGGGAGAGACAGTAACAGAAAGTGAGGTCGTAAGTAGAAAATTGCTTCTGGGATTTCAAATGGCTTCGTCATGGGGCCCTCCCTTGCTGCCGAGAAATCAGTTGATCTGGGAAAGTTCGTTGCAGATTCTTGCCCTGTTGCTTTTGGGTGGAGCTGAGAAGTGCATGAAGATAGTGGGGCTGTATTTTGGGCCATGTGTGGGAGGTGGCTGTGATATAGCCACCGGTTTTGACACCAGATAGGAACTGTCCAGCATGTCCCTGGTCAGGCTTTCCTGTCTGGAACACGGTCAGCCTGGACCCTAGCAGGCCTTAGAAGGGAGGCAGCAGAAGGGAAGAAGAGGTTTTGAGTTTGCCAGCCAAATGAAGATAACTGAAGACACTTCCCTGTTGACCATCGTGAAAAAGTGACAGCCCACAGCTGGATAAATGTCAGCCTTCAAGCTGCTGCCTCTGTCACAAGGAAACAGCACAGAGGCCTTGGCCTTCTGGACCAGCTGCTTCTCATCCTAAGCAGTGCAGGGGCCTCCCTTGGAGAAACCCTAAAGTGACTTGGCGTGTTTTCTGACACCTCATCTGAGCAGCAAACTGAGGTGTTTGGTACCGAGTTCACCGGAAATTCGCTCGTGTGTCTCACTTCTCATTTGAGCCCTAGCCCCGCTTCCAGTGAAACCTCCTGGGCCTGGGGTTCCTGGGGTGCCAAGGGGCTCCCCACTCCAAGCCCCATGGCCAGCATCTCCTCCCACTCAGCAAGCACTCTTATCTCTTCTCAATTCCCCATCTCTCTGGGCTGTGTTCAGGGCTTGCCTTGTGTATGAAAGAAGTTAGGCCACGTGGTCAGAGAAAACTCCCAGCAAGTACCCCAGGGAGTCAGTCCCCAGGTAGTGATGCTCCCAGCAACAGTAGCTGACACATGTGTGTTTTCTGCTTCTCTTTCTCTCTCATTCCTGACCAGGCCCATCTCGCTGCTGTCACCCGCTGCAACTTGGATCTGTGACTCTCTGCAAGGCATCCCTCATCCCTGGGGGGCCGTGCCCTCTCTGGCTCACTGCATACAGCAAGAGAGCATGGGTTCCCCTTCCTGGGAGCCGCCTCAGAGGTGCAAGAGCCAGAGGGGCCGTGTGGCTAAGGATGTGGCGAGCTGCGGACCCCTAGTGGCGGGGCCTGGGACGCCAGCCGCTCTGTGCTCACGCCCTGCCTGCCCTCCCGAATGTGTGGAGCGGGAAAGCCTGAGGGACCCTCCTCCTCAACAGCCTCAATCACAGTCTTTGCTCCCCAGGGACTCACAAGGAATTTCACTGGGAGAATTTGCACTTCTTTTTGGATAGACAGGCCAACGCTCTAGCTGGGTAGAGAAGACGGGGTCAGAGATGATGCTACCGGAGGATGGGGTGCCAAGTTCTGTTTAAAAGGCCATTACTCTTCCAGGAAGATTCTTCTGGCTTTAAAGTCCTAGACTGGATGGAGAGGGATGCTGAGATGCTGGCTCCCACCTCCCTCCCCTGACTTTTAAACCTCTTCCATCTCCTGAGGAGCCAGTTCCTGCTCATCTCCAGGGGGTGACCTCCCAGGGGAGCATAGCCTCTGCAGACCCTCTGTTTTTATTTTTATTTATTTGAGTTTTTTTTAATTTTATTTTTATTTTAAAGATGTGAGGTACAATTCAGGGTTATGTATATAAATGTTCATTATGCAGGTATCCTACCCTCTGTTTTTTAAGAGTTCTTTCTGGTGCTAAACCTTGAGTGCATGTGCTGTCTTGGTCATCACTAGCCCAGATGGCTGCTGCCATGCCAGGCCACAATGGTCCTCAGCAAGGACTTAGCTGGTTCTGCCACCCCCTTGGCACCACAGAGCGTCCTGTCTCCCGCTCTGGACAGCCTGCTAGAGACTCAGCTCCTGTGCTCTATTTCCCCAGTCTCCTCTGGGCCAAGCGTCCCCAGGTCCCTGCACCCGTGTCAGGCTTACCTTCTTCCTTCGCCTCTCCCTGGGTACAAGTGAGGTGAGGAAGTGGAAGCCAGTGGCTCCTGAGTCGTTGGTCACAGTCATCAGCCCCTTAGCCACGCCCCTACCATGTCCTCTGCTGCTGCCTGAAGGACACATGGTGTGAGTTTCAGCCACCCTCATTGCCTTCTGAGTGTCATTGTGGGTATCCCACAGGGCTCTGGGTTCCCTGGGGAGGACGCCTGCCCATCACTCCGAGTGTGAGACTGGTCCCTGATGGCCCACTACCCGCTGCAAAAATGTCCTGTTCTGGAGCCACTCTCTGCTTTGGACACCCCCAAAGATTCATGGTAGAACTCTTGCTGGTGGGTACGGCTGTTAGCTGTGGCTTGATAGACAGCCTGCTGGTCCCAGCACCCCAGCTGCTGGCTGGGGCCAAGGGAGAAGCAAGAAGACCTGCTCCGAGGAGTGGTCTAGCCAGGGCCCTTTGGCCTCGACTCTCTACTCCAGTTCCTCCGTGGTCTAGAGGCCATAAGTCAACTGATGCATCTTTGTTCACAGAGGTGTCGAGTGTATACTTCCTCATGAGAAGAGGCGTCCAGGAATGGAATGAGCTGTCCCTAGACAGTGAGCTTCCTGTCAGTGGGGGGTGCCCAAACAGTATTATAAAGGGAAATAGTGCATTTAGGCTAGATGACATTCAGACAGAAAGAGACAGGCTGGTTACGTGTCTGGGTTTTGGAGTTGAAGTGTTTTGGGTTCAAACACTGGCTATGCTCCTTACCAGCGGTGCGACCTTAGACCAGCCACCTAGGCTCTCTGAGCCTCAGTCCTTATCTGCCTCGAGTGTGTGGGCGGTGCCAGACACAGCGGACCACCCCTGAGGAGCTATGATCACGAGGTTGCCGCCTGCTCCAGATGCCCTCCTTGAACCTTGAGGTTCTGGCCCAAGCTTCCTCCTCCCCAACACAGGTAGCAGGCAGAAGTGGGGGCTTTCTCCGGGCCGTGTTCCCCCACCCCCAGGGGATTGCTTTCTTCCACCCCAGGTCTTGTTCCTTACTGCAACCCCCTCTATCCCAGCCCCCCCCTCCTACCCACCTGCCCTCCCACAGATCTCCTCAGAGTTTTGAGGCCACAGACCAGCATTCCCAAACACCAAAATAAAAGGCAAACATGATTTGGCCAACTGGTTACCATCTTTATTTCTAACTTCAGTTTGACACAGTCAATGCAACAACTGGTTTAATGACCCTTCCCCCAACCCAGCACCATCAGTGTTCTAGACTTCCCTTCTATATATTATTAACTCTGCTAATATTTAATACTTTAAATACAAGGAAAAACAATAAATTACTCTTTGGCTGAGGGCTCACTGTTGGCTGGCAGACAGGAGCGGCTGCTCTGGCCCTCTCTCCTGTCCCCTATCTCGGATGAGGCCCTGAGGTCTCAGGACCCCAGTGAGGTAGCAGAATTGTGTACACAGTACTTATGACCAGGGACTCCTGGCACCCACTGCTTTAGTGCTGGGGCCCCAAGTGCTGGCAACAGCAGTCTCCCCCACCCCAACTCTGACAGACACTCGTTTAAATAACACACAATAATAAATAAGACCAAGAAGACGTGTGCCTGTGCTGCTGTCTGCCCCCGTGGCCTCAGTGTGAAGTGGGTTCCCCTGCCACCACATGGCTGGCAAGAGTGAAGCCCACTGTAATGCTACAGAGTGCTCTAAGGCAGGGGAGGGGCGTCAGGCACCGTCTCCCCTTCATCCCCCGAGCCCAGAGCCCTGGACAGAGGAAGCCCGGCAGGTGAATTCCAGGCACCAAGGCAAAAGGCAGGCTGGGGTGGATTGGCTGAAGGCCGGCAGCACAGGCTGAGGTCTAAACTAAGGAAAACTTACCCGTCCCACCCTCCTCCCCACCTACCCAAGCAATTTCTGACATCTGAAAGAAAAATGAATCTGTAACTTAAATATTCAGGGCCCGTCTCTGCAAATAATGACGCTAGCTTCTCAGGTTTCAGTCGAACTTTCCACGGTGGTAAAGTCTTCTTAAATGTCTGAGCAGGTCCTTTATGAACTGGGCCACTTCAATTTTGGTGTCTTGAACGTGGAGGCTGGAAGCCTGCTGCAAGACAAAGAGGCCGGTGCATGAGTGGGACACCAGAGGCAAGGATGACCAGCATCCGCCAGGGGCTTTCCAGGGACTGTCTTGTTTAATTTTCACAAAAGTTTCCACGAGGTAGGTACTGTGGATTCCTATATTTTACAGATGTAGAAACTGAGGCTCAGATAGGAGTTGGGAGCCCTTGAGCCCAGGTCCTGCAAATCCTAAAGACCATGTCCTTGCTGCCACAGAGGCCCCATCCCTGGGTGGACACACACCTGGGCTTCTCAACCAGTTTCCTCTGGAGCTCCCAGGGTGAGCCCAGGGCTGGCAGGAGTGGGTGTGCGGTGGGATCTGAGAGGACGGGAGAGACTTACCCCAGCTGAGACCTTGCGTGAGCAGAGTCCGCTCAGCATCCTCTGGGTCTTTTGGATGGCACTGCAACCCGACACGTTGATCAGGGATTCCAGGGCTGCACAGTACTGTGGGGAGGGACCAGCCAGGTGTCAGGCCCTGCTCAGGCAGGTGCCTTCCATGAGTTTACAGAAAGACGGGGGCTGAGAGGCCTGGCCCGGGTGGAAAGGCCCAGATTACGAGGGGAGAGAGGGGAACCCTTGATGCTTGCTTGGAATCCCCCAGACACGTGAGGGAGGCTCTGAGAGGACAAGTCCAAGGTCTACAGCCTCTGCCACCTCCTCCCCAGCGCCCAAGGGTCCTTACCACATCAGTTGTCAGGTTGAAGCTCCACACCATGCTGCCATTGCAGAGAGGTGCCCCCTGAGGGAACAAGAAACGGTGAGTAGAGTGCCTGCAGGAGTCTGGGGTTGCCCAGTCAGCCCGGGACAGGCACAAGCACGGGCTACATAAGCATCCCTGGTGTGGTGCAGAGGCAGGCCTGGCAGCCCCTCCACCTTCCTGAGCTTCATTTCCTGCTCTACACAGTGGAGGTGGGGCTGGGAACCTGTTATTTAGGGTCTTGGAGCTGAGAGAGAAAAATTGAGTGACACCACTGGCAAGAAACAAGCCATAGCCAGGGCCGGAGGGCAGGGGCCTCCAGGAAGGGCTAGGGCAGGGTTGGGTGAGCCTGGGTCACTGTTGACCAAGATAATCAGATGGGAGGCAGTGGGAATCTGGTATGTCAAATACCCTGCCACCAAAGTGGGGAACACTGCAGCTAGGAGTGTGGACACCCCAGTGGCCTGGTTCGAACCCTGCCTTTCAGTTAACTTCTGTGAACCTGACTCAGCAGAGTGGAGTCATCACACCTGCCGCTTGAGGTGGTTGGCAGTGACACAATGACACGTGAAGCCCCTAGCACCAGGTCTGGCACAGAATTGGTGCTCGCAATGTGTGAGGTGTCACTAGTGGGGAGCAGCTGACTCTACTAAGGAACCTTCCATAAGAATGGGCCTAACTGAGACACTGTGAATAGCGGCTGCATTACTGGGTTCAAAGTCCAGTGGGCAAGGCCAAGTGGCTCTGAGAGGGTGCTGCCACTTCTCCACTTTACTCTGTGCAGGAATGGCTGAGCGGGAGCTGGCAGTGGCTGGCAGGGCCAGCCAGGGGAGCAGATGGTCCCCGGGTCTCCGCCAAGCTTTTCGTAGGTCCATCCATATTGCTGGGCCTGTCTCCTGACCTGGCTCTTCTCTCTCCTTTGTGACTGGGCCTGGCTCCTGGTCCATGGTGATTCTGCCTGACCCGTGGGCATCTTAGGACCAGGTCTAGCCTGCTCACAACCTCTTCCTGGGAGCCACCCACCCTGGTACCCTCTCAGCTGGGACCCTGGCCCGCTGATACTCACCTTCTGGTTCTGGGTGATGTTGACCAGCTCCTCGATGAGCTCCTTGAGGGCTGTAAAGTGAGGGACGGGGCCTGGGGAGGCAAGGCCACCAAGGCAGGTGAGAGCAATGACCAGGGTCAACCAGAGCGCCATGGGGCCCAGAGCCAACACAGGAGGGCTAAGGAGCAGACACGAAGGCTGGCCTAAGTTGAGCGACTTGTGGCCCTGGCCTATTGCAGCAGCTTTTATACCCTGGTCTCTGCTTTTTTGGGCACTATCTAAAAACCACATCTTTACTCATCTTGATTTTACTTTGTGGAAAATCCAGCGTCGCATAAAGGAGAGTTTGATTTCGTGTGGGCTTATTGAGAAGGATCTGGGGCAGAGTTTCCAAGATCTGGATGGCCTTAATTCCGGGGACCCTGAGAGATGAGGGTCTGAGATGAGGGTCAGATGAGGGACCCTGAGAGCGGTCTGGCATCACCAATGCCAGCTGAGCCCTGACAGTTTTGCCTGATGACCACCCCAAGCACCTGGACAGCTGACCCAACTCTCAGCTCCTGTCGTCACACCCCTTTGGGTCACCGGAAGTGCTGGGCAGACAGTCTTGGTGGCACTGTGGCTGTAACCACAGTCTACCAGCTGTAGGAATTGGGGGATTTCATTTTTTTTTCAGTGAATTGGTCTCTTAAATCACCAAAGTAATACTTGCTTGGGATACAAAATTCAAACAGGACAAAAGGAGAAGAGTGATATTCACCTATTTGGCTCACTTGGTTCCTCCATGGCCCCGTTGTGGGAGGGATGATTAAAAATTCAGACTCCCACTGAAAAAAATCCAGCCAGATTCAGGGGTTCCTCCTGGGACCTTTGATGTTTTTCTTTTAAGATGGGGTCTCACTATGTTGCCCAGGCTAGCCTCCAGTTCCTGGGCTGAAGCGATCCTCCCATTCCCAAGTAGCTGTGACTACAGGTGTGAGCCACTGTGCCGGGTTCCTTTAATTTTCAGTGTGCCACGGGCCACCCTGTGGGGGAAATGCTTAACTGGACCAGCCTTAGGCTGCCAGCTGTAGCCCAGGTCAGAGACTGAAACTGTTTCCAGTGCTACTGAGACTTGGAGTGATCTCCTTTGCCCACCAGTCTCTGTAGGACCAGCCTCTGCGGGCCTCAAGTTTCCCTTCTGCAGAGTGAGTGCTGTGGCGGGCTCCTGGGCCTGTCCCCTGGAGCGCCCACCCCTGCAGGCAGGTAGCCTTTTTCCTGCTCTTCCCTGGTTTCCCTAGAAGTCCTCCAGAAAACCCCACAACGGAGGCCACAGTATTTGCCTCCTGGGTGCTCATGTCACGCTCGCTCCCTTACCCACTTCCCTAAGCCATTGCCTCCCCCTCCAGGCCCTCTCTGCCTGCTCAGGATCCCTTTGTCCTCTTTTGGGGGGCTCCACCTCCTCGCAAGGGTCTTCCAAGGAACGGCGCCCTCACTCCTGGCTCAGAGACCTCCCAGCCTTGCCCACCCTCCCTTCCCACGGGGAGCATGATTCCCAGGCCCTCTTCTGTCCACACCCGCTGCTTCCCAGCCCGACTGCGCCCCGACCCCAGAAGCCAGCCCCTGCCTCCGTGCCCTCCCCCACCCCCACGGTGCCTGGAGGACTGCTTGGCCGCGCGACCCCTCTGTGAGCCTCAGTTTCCCCCTCTGCAGCGCAGAGCCCGCGGCGGCTCCCATCGGGGCTCCGTGGCGGGGGAAGGAGCGGGGAACCACCTCGGGCTTTGC